GTGAATGTCATATATAAAATAGACTCTCCTACACGAGTGACATCGCGTTATAGTATTATAAATCAATTATATCTTGTCACATAAAAAAAAGTGCATCCATTAAAACATTTATCATTATTTGTATAGACAGGTTGCGACAATAAAACTCAGCAATGCAACTTGAAGCACTTAATTAATATTATTGTTTACGGATAAGGTCATTGGGAACAAAACTAATCCAACTTGTGTCATTGGGACCAAACTAAATAAACTTTGTACAAAATTGAATTTAGTTTGGTTGTTCTAATTCTATAATAATTTTGTCAACTTTTATTTATTTATTTTTGAATAAGAACAATACCAAGCTACTTTTTTCTTTTCATCTTAAAATTCTTACATAACTCGTAGAAACAACTTCAAAATGCATACTGTCAAACCATGATCTCTCAGCTAAGCTTATCCAGTATGCAAAACATGGTCCAGTGTCCAAGTTCATGTCCTTCTGTTTGATATTTAATTCATCTTTTAATGATAAGCATTATTATAAACGAAGTCGAGTTATGGTGGGCTGCTTTGTTAGGCAAATATTTATGCTTATAACACATAGTAAAATGATTTTCCCGTCCAGGAGTTTGGACAAAAAAAATTTAACTTTTATTTGATCACCGCATGTCAAATATAAACAAAGTGTGATCCTCAATTTCCTTAACTTTTATATTTATGACTAATTAAATAGATCCGATCAAAGATTCTTGCGTAGTTCTTTCATCCAAATATCACTACTCTAGCACAAGGATTTTAATTTTTTTTTGTAAATTGCTGTGTTTTTAGGTATCCAAAATTGTGCCAAGCCTAATTACAAACGTCAATGTAGAATGATTTTTTTTTAATAAATGTCATTTTTCTTAGCATGACATCGTATATAACACTCTTGTAATACACTGTACCATATACAAAAAAAATATTTAGAGTTTGATGTATGTCATCAAGAGAGAATAAATTAGTACCTAATAGTTAAAGAGTGTTCACTTGACAAAGTCTTTCGGTGAATCTCCATGACATCTGTATACATTTTCTCAAATCACATACATATCTATATATTTGTTGTGAGTTTGATGTATGTCATCAAGAGAGAATAAATTAGTACCTAATAGTTGAAGAGTGTTCACTTGACAAAGTCTTTCGGTGAATCTCCATGACATCTGTATACATTTTCTCAAATCACATACATATCTATATATTTGTTGTGTTGTGGTGTTGTTTATTTATTTTAATTTTTTCTAACTCAATGGAGGAACTGAGCCAAACGAGCATACTAATGACTGGCCAATGAAATTTGACAAACTTAATTGGCCGGTCATGATCATTTGCATGAGAAATTATTACATAATTTTATTTATTTATTTATTTATTATTATTATTATTTATTTATTTATTATTATTATTATTATTATTTTGTGTGTTACTTTTTGGACCGAACCAATAACCCCGAATCAAATAATAACTTTTTTAACAGTAAAACAAAGGGTTCATTTCTTATAAGTTACAATAGGTGGAAACAATACAGTAGATTGCTTGCTCACGGAATGGAAATTAATGAGTACCAGTCCAAGTCCTAAAGTGGGTCCGTGGGATCCACTTTGAAAAGCCCAATTCAAACGTATTAAACAAATGGACTGAGTGGTGATATGTCGGCCGAGGAGGCCAGCCCAATTTTGACTTTTGACTTTTCAAGATCAATTAAGGGAAGGGTGGTGTAAAGTTAAAATTGACCACATCTGTTGGAAGGTTTAGACCTTTTTATTTTTTTATTATTATTATTTTTTTTACTAGTTTAATTGTGAACAAGCAAACTAAAAAGGCATAGCACTTAACCCTATTATTTAAGGTTTCTATTTTTTTGAAAAATTGTTTTGGGCCAATCACCATGTGACATGTCAATAAATGTGTCTTTAAGTTATAATTAACTTTTTATTAATGTGTCATGTGGTGATTGGTTAAAATCGATAATTTTAAGAACATGTAATAATTTCTCTAATATTTATTTAGTTTTTTTTGTTCAAGTGTCAAATGGTAATAGGTCGGAACTATAGGATCAATTTATTTATTATAACACCAATTTATTTATTAAAAAAATTTTATAGCATAAACAAAGTTATGTTTTAGATTCTTAGACTACTTTAGAATATTAGAGAGTTTATATAAATTAATAGATTTTGAAATATTCTAAAGGTAAAGAATTTTATAAATATATAGATATTTGTAAAAAATTCTAAAAGTTAGATATTTTATCAGGCACTACCGAATAGAATTTCTATAAATAAATCCCTCCCTTAAAGTTGAACCAACGTGCTAGTGAGGTAGTGGTTGATTTTACTTATCAACATAAGATGATCTGATGTGAAATTTTTTATAAATTTCGTTTTCAATGCAAAATATTTTGTTTAGGAAAATATTTTTTATTTTTTTGATAAAATATTTTCTTTTATTTTTATATTTTGGTATTTTACAAAGGTCGAAGTCGAGATTAAAATCGAATCCATCAGAATAACTTCAAAAATTAACGAGTAAGTTATTTTAGTCAAAGTTATTATATTTTTTTTAGTAAATATTTTGGGACAACCATCCATTAGAAAATAAAATAAATATTTAAAAAATATATATATATATTTTACATCCAAACAAAGGAGCCGATTAAATATGATATTTCATCCCTCGAAAGTAATGGATCTCACATGGCCTATTCTTCTCAACAATGGACGGCCCAATCAAATTCAAATAAAACTCGACCCAATTTATGATCTCAACTTCCCAAATCTCGCGGTTGATGTATTTAGAAAAAAGTAGTACTGTAATAAAACATTCAGGTTATACACAGATATCTAAATATATATATAATAAGGATGATTTTGTAATTTTATGTAATTATAACAACCTGATGATAATTGGCTGACCTCATTTTTACATCATTAAGGATATTTAATAAGTATAGTATAGATAATTATCTATACTATACTCATTTTTAATAAGTATAATATAGATAATGAATATTTACATGGGTATAGGCCCACTGACCATAAAGGCAACAAAAAAGAGCTCAACCTATCTAGGTTAGCCGTGGGAGGCCCAATCAACTTGTTACATATAGACTGACCCAAAAGAAATTGGCACATTTAGAATTGCCCATCAACTTGATAACTGGTGACACTATATCATATATATATATATATATATAATCTTATAGATGAAATTTGGTACTAGATTCTCAAATTAGACCTCTAGGCATTTGTGAATTGGGTGATTGTTAGTTTATTATATACCCATTTTACTTGGGATCAAATATACGGTCTTAAGTTGTAATTTATTTGCCTTGAGGGCTTATTATATGTAATTTATTTTGGTACTAAATTATATAAGTATGTATTCTCAAAAATGTTAATTGAATTGGAAGTCATTTACTAGCTTGTATTGAGATAATATATATATATATATATATATTATATTTTGTGTTCTTTGTCCCTTATTTCCTCCTTAAATTACATTTTGACATAATATTTGATATGAGAATATCATAAGAGAAATTTTTAGCCAAAAATAGAATATTGATTGAAGTGATTTATGGTATTGATTTCATTAATGTATTTTCCATATTTATCACCTTTATTCTTTCCTCTATAAATAGAGGTGATCCAATATATACAAAGTTTAAGAGAGACTATAATAAATAAAGATGATGTAGCTCTTTTAGTTTTGTGTGTGCTTCATTTTCTATTTCTCTCTTCAACTTTAACATGGTATCGTTTGCATTTCCCCCGCTTTGTTGGCCGCTTTGTTACGGCCATGATCCTAGATCGTTTGCACTTTGTTTTCAGATGGATTACCCGGATGTCTCTGGCCATTTCCCGGCTTTGTTCCGACCCATTTCCCCGGTGTTGTTTTGGCCATTTCGTCAGCATTGTTCCAACCTTTCAGATGTTTTTCTCTCTACCACTCTTTTTAAAATTTAATCTCCAAACTCAAGTTGGCTTTGAAAAACTCATCTTAACTTTGCGGTAGAATATTGACTTTGTGCGTGCTTCATTTTCTATTTCTCTTTTCAACTTTAATAGCTTGCTTAACCAATTTAGTATAAGATTATTTAATTAGTATACTAAGTCCGAGCTGTCCGACTCCTCTTAAATGGAGATGAAATGAGATGATAGCCTTATTGGATTATAACAATTTTGTGGAATTAAAAACGAAGAAAAATGAGTTTAAATTTTAAATTTTAAATTAACAACTTACCTTGCAACGTGTAAATATTGTTTTATTTTCACACTCTCCTCTTGCCTCGTAATTTTAACGTGGACGTCATTTAGGAAATAGATTCTCGAACACAGTGATATCACATTATAATATTATAAATCAACTATATCTTGTCAGGTAAAGAAAAATACACCAATTAAAACATTTCTCATTATCTGTACAGACAGAGTACATGTGTGAGATATATATATTATATAGAGAGTGAAAGTAAAAAATAAAGAGAGCTAGAGAGATAAAGAGAGGGGTCAGGTGCCCAATAGCTGTTATTGCTTTATCTCCGCCCCAAGCGAAGGAATAGCTGTTATTGCTTTATCTCCGCCCAAAGCAAAGGAATAGCTTTGACCCTAACGAAACGCGTTACAATAAAACTTGATAATGTAATTTGAGACACTTAAATTAATATTATTGTTTACGGATAAGGTAATTGGGAACAAACTAATCCAATTTGTGTCATTGGGACCAAACTAAATAAACTTTGTACAAAATTGGATTTAGTTTGGTTGCTCTAATTCTATAATAATTTTGTCAACTTTTATTTATTTATTTTTGAATAAGAACAATAAAAAGTTACTTTTTTTCTTTTCTTCTTAAAATTCTTACATAACTTGTAGAAATAACTTCAAAATGCATATTATCAAACCATGAATTTGTACAAAATTTTACTCTGTACTTCGTAATTGTTCCTAAAAAGTTATTACAATAATAAATATCACAACATCAATCTTAAGAATGGTGAAATTTTAAATTGAATATTTTAATTCAATATATTTATACACTATATTACTAATTTATGACCTTTTGTTCAACCAATTATCAACAAGACATTTAAAATTATCAAGCCAAAAACCTGATATAGAATTATCCTTGAAATTGGATAAAAAAATAATAATAATAATTATCCTAGAAATTTGACATATATGATCCCAACTAAGGGTGCACAAAGTTTTCAAACCCCTTCTCCTTACGCAAGCCAAGTGTCCATCTTCTCATATCCCAAACCCAGGGTTTATGCGCAGTCCCGAAGAACTGAAATGAAGACCATACATATCGAAGGGTTCGATTCCTAATTTCCTTGATAGGAAATAGAGAGAGAAAAGTGTGTGTTTTCTCTCTCCAAACAAACCCTCTATTATCACCATGTGATCTTGTTTTCCCTTTTTTATTTCTCACTCTTCAGGAAGACACTACCGATCACTGGTTCGAGCCCTAGGCGTCGACACTTCGCCACTTCAACAGAAGAGTATGCCAAGAAAAATGACGCTAACAATGATTCAGAGTACAACACCGTCATTACCTCTCACTTCGAATGTCTCTCCATTTTCTCAATACTACTCATATATATATATGTGTGTGTATATGTATAAATTGATATTCATCTACATTGTGTGTATGTAGATGTGTGTATATATCTGTGTATGTATAAATTCATATTAATCTACACGTGTGTGTGTGTGTGTGTGTGTGTGCTTCCGTGTCTTTTGCAGACATTATTTTTAGAGGGATGTGTATGATTTAGAAACATGATCCTGCTTTGTCTAAGGTCTTAATTTTTGTGTGACCAAACTAGCATTTGTTTCTTTATTATGTCAGCCCATATTATTAGATACTAGAAATTCATGTGTAGTGGTCTTACTAATTTCAGGTTAGTTTTGTTTAAATATAAAATTGCATTTTGGGAGCAGAATCATATTTAATTGGGTGTGACATGAGCTAGTTTTTCATGGTAATTGTTCTTAACATTTATCTCAAGCTTCCCTTCCCAACCCAAAAAAGAGAAAAAAACTAGAAAAATGAGAGGAATGCAAATCCAAGTTCTGGTGATTATTAATATCCATTTCCAAAGCATGCTCCCTGCAATTCAAGAGAGTCGATTATCTAAATTTTACCTCTAATGTGGGAAAGAAATCCAAACTCTTGATCTCAAATGTAGTCTAGTGCAACTATAAAATAATCCATTCTTTAATCATTACTGTTGTTTTAAATTGGTCATATATATCTTCAATTAATGTCACACAGCTGGGTCTGTAAGTTACTCATTTTTATTTGAATTACCTGCTTTAGCAAGTCTTGTGACCGTGAATTGAAGCATTACTTATCTACTTTATAGGTTGCTTTATATAACTTCTTGATCTCGTTCTATAGCTAGAATAATAAAATAACCTCCCTTCAATATTTAGGTATGCTATTGTTCATAATAAAATAACCTCCCTTCAATAATCGTTTTCCCGAAAAAGATTACCGAGCTTGTTGAGCAGGTCCAAGGGGTGGTCATCACTTGAAGCATCAAGAGACAAAGCATGGCAGATTACTGAGTAAAGAGTTAACAGTTCATCACGTTGCAATTCATGCATGTGCTGACCTTTGGAATGTAGAGGTATCATCTCAAATATTTAATTTTATGCTTTTCAAATGAGAATTTGTATAAAACTCTGCTTGCCATCAATGTGACAATGAATATAATCTGCTCATATAAGAAAACATTTCTGTTATATAGTGAGTCTGTTATGAGATTAAGCTTAATTTATATGGTTAACAGGGCAAGTTACCTGTTTACTTTATTAGCGCTGTTAGCATGATTTTTTTTTTTTTTAGGTGTCAAATTATTTGTTTAGTTAAGAGCATTTTTTTCCTGTTGAGTTGAACAGTGACATCCACATGCATCTGCAAGAAAAAAGTTTTATTTATCGCACTAATGGTTTATATACCTTTGTATAAATGGGTGCACCCCCTCTTGGGCTCTTCAGTGATTTACTGTAACCATGTGTTGAGATTGATTGATAACCCCAACATCAGCAAAGCTATAGCAATAATTTACTGATTCCTTTTTGCGTTTCTCCTCCATACGCTGTTTTGATCTCTACTTTTTCTGTTTTGTTTACATGGAAGCATACACAAAACTAAGAAATTATGACTTGGGGCATTATAGCACCTAGGCGCTCCCAACATGGCGTCCGGCCTAGAGAAGGAACACAATCAACTTCTTGTGATAAACTAAAGTTAGCCATCTATTCTGCACTGCACTTGGTTTGTCTATAGGCATGATGAAGGATGCATTCCTGTTCTGTGGAGAACGGGTGGCAGCATGACTCAGTTTGATCAGATATGGGTGAAAAAAACTATAGTTTGAACTCCTTATTTTCTACCTAGTTTGACTTTAGGATGAGCTTCCTAATGCCTTTGAGCAAACTAATTGTTGTCCTCAAAAGGAAACTCTGCATGATCATTGCTGCTGTACCTTTCTAAAAATAGCACTATATATTCGTGAACCAAATGGATGTGTGGAACCGCATCTAATAAATTTTTGAAGGTGCGAAACGTTCATGGTTTGAACCTTTGTTCTTGTTTATAACCTTTGATAATGTAAATGGAACTTGCTTGGGTATAAATTTAATATTATCCCCTACCTATCCAAAAACAAATAAATAAATTATATTCTGCCCACATTTTTCAAGTTGAGTCAGTCATAATGTGAACAATCATGTAATTAATTGTATCATTTAATAGTTCTTTGCCACCAATTTCGTGTTACTTCTGATTTTGTTCATTGTGATAGGGGATAGGCAATGGAAACACTTTTGGAGATGCTTAAAAAGGAGATGCTAAAACTCTTGATGTCTTTATTGTGATGCAAACTGTGAGGTACCTGATTGTTAATGAGCAATTTTTTGTCCACATACTTTTCAAGCAAACTATTCATACTCATACATACAGTACATTCATATTTGCGTGCATACATTTATTGATTATTGAATAAGTATGTGATTCTTGGTCAGCTGATCTGGTTCATTTTGTGCAATATTTGATTAAAAATATCAATGATCATCTTTTGTTCCTATGGTGCATGATCTCATTATTGCTGGGTTTCGTTTTTAGTTTACATGCCTTCATCCTTCTTTAATCTCCTATTCAAGTCATGCTGTAGAAACTGTATGTCATACTTAATTGTTTACTACCTCTTTAATGAATTTACATCCCATCCAAACAAGGTCTTTTGTGTTAAAATACATAGGAAATTGGGAGGGGCTTTTATGTCATTCCAAAGGGTAATTTCAGGTTTTCAAAAAAATCTGATTTCATACTTGCTCAATTAAGCACATGATGTATGTTCATCCAGGATACAATTTAAAAAAAAAAAAAGAGGAAAAAAGGAAAAGAAATAAATGATGGTGTGGCATATTTTTAACCCTCGGATGCATCTTTGGAGATGCTTGGACACAAAAATTACAAATGGAACTGGATCCTCTCCAATAATTTTATCTCCAGGCATGCATCCAAGAATAACAGTTACTATCTGTCAAATATCATTTATGAGTATATATATACACAAGGAAGCAGTATGGTATGGAATAGTCGAGCCCCATTTTGATGATGGCTTCTTCATCGATCGTGTAGAAGATAATGAAATTTTATACATCTATCTGCATGTTTTGCGCCTCATCCCACTAATGGGCATTGATGTTTATTTTTCTTTCCGACTGCTCGGCATTGGTGTTCATTTCTTTTTGTTTTGCCCTCCGGTTCATGAACCAGATAAAACCATGTTACTCTACTGAGATTTGAACCATGCATCAAATAATTTTATTTTGATGTGATTTTCAATTACTTCATTAACACACTCCCCAATCACAAGAACAGTCACAAAAATGGGATAAAATGAAAAAGATTTGCTTCAGCCATAATCTTCTTTGAGCCTTTATGAGCTTCTTAATATGCCATATCCTACCCATATTGGTGTTTGGTGCATATTTAGTTTTGTTATAGTCGTCTTAAAATCAAATTGGACGGGAATAATGGTTTATCTTGATTTGAAGAGGCCTGACTACCTGTCTACATCATTTTAATTTACTGATTTATCGTAAAAAGGTGGCTAATCAGTGAAAACTCATGTGCTTTTGTTTACGAGCAAGTTTAAGGATGTAGTTATCATCCCTAATCAGGCTTTTATGCTAATTTTTATTACAAAGGCTTTATGATCATGTTATGGGTTACTGAATGAGACATGCTTGCTTTATAGATGAGCTCTTAAGGGCCAGTTTGGACTTTGGAGTTTGAAGGATTAAAGTCTTACTGTTTTTTGGATGCTCAACTGCTATAATTTTTTTGGAATGTTGTTCTATGGGAACTATACATAGAACAACATGAAATGGCTTTGTATGTTACAAACATTCACCTGGTGGGCTTTAAGTTGGACGACATGATCTGATATCATGTTTCCAACATAGACATCATTGAACATTGTTGCTTTATGCATGACACCTAGTGGTGGTTTTAATCAAGGGTGTTGGGAGGGATATACCGGATATAAACTTAACATTTGACATTATTTGCACAAAGTGGCTCCTCTTTCTTCCACTTGACAGTTCAAACATTTATCAATGCACCAAGCCATGATACCTTTGCAACATTTCTTTTTCTTTTATTTGTGCACAAGGTGCTGCAACGCAGGCAGGGGATCACTTCTGGTGGACTAACAATCAAGCAATTAAATGACTTGCTTGATCGCTTGGCTTCAACTGAAAATAGGTAAATGAGTTTCAGTTTGGTATTTTATAATGAGAGTTGGTTGCCACAGAATATTTTATAATGAGAAACATTTTCTGTCCCCACATTTGCTATAGTTCCCTTTAGTTTCTGCTCAATTATGATACTGTTCTTTGCATTCCTGGACTTATTTACTTCCTTTCAGTGATGAACAGTAGCTTTCCACTATATCTTGCATTTATTATCTGAACATCAATTTACTTTCAGATTGTAGATAAGCACTAGTTTTCTGCTTTAAATATAACGGGAATATAATTTACTTCAGAATTGAATTAGCTGGGAAGTTTTGGAAGAAATTGTCTATTGTCGTAGGCTTGACATTGCAAAGATTTTTTTTTTAAGTTCTATTAATTTTTGTCTTTTATATTGGAACCTAGAAAATTTCTTTAAAATGTAGAAATTGATTGTGGTATTGTTGTGAATGCTTAAAACAAAATTTGGCATACCTAATGTATACTCCCAAGTCATTGAGTTTTTGAGAAGTCTCACCATGCCAATGGTTTTTGGATGGGATGTAAATTTTCCTCCCTCCTAGATTCTCTCTCTAATTTCTTCTCACCTCACCAGACCCAAATCGGATCACAGAAGACCATATAGGCTAGAGAGAGTTTAATCAAAGAGTTCATCAAAAAAATAATAAAAAATCAAGCAATTACATTCAATCAGCCATAATTTTCACCAACAGAATCCTTAAAGAAGACATATTTGGGCTTTTGCCACATCTATCTTTAAGGAGGGCTAAAGGCCTAAGAATGGGTAGCTGTGTAGATGTCATTAGAAAAGGGTCCGAGAATTGGGTGATTGTGTAAATGTCATTAGAAATGGGTATGAGAATTCGGAGTTGTGTGTTGTGATTTTGCAGTTGAGCCCCTTGTTGAACAGTATGCCGTTGACGCTGTTCTCCTTCAAGATCCCGCCAGCATGTGTCCGAACTCGTCAAGATCCCAGTATGTACGTGCTTGAACTCATCGTCTCTGAGCTTCCGGGGGAACGCTGCCTTGCTCCTGAGCCTTGTGATGGCGATAGTCACGTTCGCCGGAGCCCCGCCGGGCACCTTCTCACACACCCATTGGAGAAATGTTGATCTCCATGCGTTTGTAGAAGGTGAGAAGCTGACCAACCATGGCATAATTTCCTCCTCAAGCACCCCACACCCACAACTTTATTTTGACATCTCTCCCTATATTATATATATATATAAAAAGTTTTCTCTACGAACAACTGAACTGAAATGAATGAATGAAACAAAAGTCTTGCATTAGATATGGCGCGCAGTAGAGATATATCATATGACAAAGAAAAGTGCACATTATATATGCACTTACATAAAGATTTCAGTTACATAGGATTTCAGTTGGTGAATCATGCAAAGATGGAGGAGTTTGGTGAGCCATGCAAAGATGGAGCTAAAATGCCAATGATGAATGTGTTCAGTTCACCTTTACAGATTTTCTTATATATATATATATATAGATAGATATATATATCTTTTATTAGGTTGAAAATCTGTTACAAATTACTGAATTAAACCTAACTATATTAATTTTCCAGGTTTGTGCATGTTAGGTAAAGAATATTCATCTAGACTTGGCTTTCAACCGGGATGATTTTGTAATTTTATGTAGTTATAAGGTATAAGATATGGGGCACCTGATGGTTAATTGCATGCAGGGCACCATTAAGATCAATTATAATAAGTATAATGAATATTTACATGAGTGTGTGTGTGTGTGTGTGTGTGTGTATTAGCCCATGAACAAAAGGACCAACTGGCCATAAGGCAACAAAAAAAGCCCAGTTGGAGGCCCAAAGAACTTGTTACATTTAGAATGGTTCAAAAGAAACTGGTACACCAAGTGGAACCCTACACCTGATCTTTTCTGTTGACATGGCACTAATCCATTAACGTGCCAAGACAACACCCACTCTTGAACTGAAGAGGACACGCACAAACAGGGCATCCGATGAGAATAATACTCGTATATAGTTGGTTTCCTACGGACAACCTATTCACCAGGTCCCATCCATCCTCTCTCTTTCGCTCTACTCTTTCTCTCTCTGAAATGTTAGATATACATGACATGTACTAGAGAGCTCATCAGCATGTTCTTCAAACTCGAAGCCGAAAACATCTTATAAACAATTAATAACAACTTTAAACGTAAGTCCATTCTCATCACTTCAATTTTTTATAATTCGTTTGATTTTTTGTCTATTTAGTTTGGTTAATTATCTGTTTATGTTTGATACTCTATTTATTCAAATTAATATTACACTGTAGTTCGTAAGGGTTTCTAGCATCAAAACTAGGTTTTAAGAGCTAGCTCCTTTTTCACTTGATTGTTATTGTTGATTATATACATGCATAGTTGTACGTGTATATATGCTTTGTTTTGTTCTGTGTAGAGCAAGGTTGTGGTCAAATTAGATGCCGATGAATATAATTCATGTAGGCCGTGGATCTCCCAAAGTTATATTGTCTGAGCCCACAGGATCGACGGCTGAGGTTTGTTATTTTTCCATCATTTTTTCTAATATTCTTGATGGAATTGACATATAATGATAGGCTAGGAATTTATGTGTAAAATACTTGTTTTGGTTTAATTTTGAAGGAGACAGAGAGTTACGGTTGTGTGATGTTGTTTGATTGGAAAGAAAGAACTTTTTAGATTGATACAATTAGAGACTTATTCAATGTGAGAGTTTTCAAAAACCAATTTTTTTTTTTTTTTTTTTTTGTGGAATTGTTGATAGTCAAAATTGGCATTTGAAAGCTAATTAGGTGATGAAAAATATAGTCAATCTAGAGATGTAATTAGATGTTTTCATCTTTAATCAGTTGTCACATTACCGGAGCTGACAAGGTTTGTGTTGGGAGTATTTTAGTGAGAAATTGAATTATGTCCCCATTCCCAATGATTAGGTCAACTTAATTATGCGTGTTTCCGCATATATTTTTAATTTGATTGTAATACTAAGTAATTGACTGCTCCCCCTTGATTTCATCTGCCAAATAATTTTTGTAAAGGAATTCTCTGCTTGTTTGAACACCATCTCATTCAACATGAATTGGTTCCAGGTGCTTCTGTATGGCGAGCAGGTTATTTCTTGGAAGAATGAACAAAGAGAACTGCTTTTTACAAGCAGCAAGGTGAATCAATTCTTTTTACCCGAGGAATTTAAATTTAATTAGATTACAGTTAACAACCATTTTGACATCTAATGCCCAGATGGTTCGTTTTCTATGTGCTAGAATTCTGAAAATGCTCATTACCGGCCTTTTGATTTTGAATAACCCATGTCTTCTCCTTATGAATTTTAAGAATTGTGTTTTTTCCACTTAAGAGCTAGAAGTTGAATCTCTAAATTTATTTCATACTTTTATTTTATTTTATATAATTTGAATTTGACACAAGAGACCATTGCTTTATATAGTAGTAAGAGCACAGGCTAGCAGACCTGAGAGTACAAGTTAAGGGCTGACACTCTCCAATCCCGCTCAATTAATATCTAATAGATATTATTTTGTTATTCTTGCCGTAGTTCAATTTTCACAACCTCTATTGAGGGAAAATAATGTAACTATTGCCCTCACATAAAGCTTTTAGTTTTCGTGAGTATTGTAATGAAGCTAGATTTTCCAACATTAATTAACATAATAGTAAATAGTATAATGTGATTATTCATTTTAAGATATGTATTGTGGATTGTAGAATCCTTGTTAAAATGATGCGGAACTATACTTAAAGATCTTTAGATTATACACTCTAGACTATCTAGTAAGTTAACTATTAGAAAAGGGAACATGAATCTTCACATGTATATGCATATTTTCTATTTCATGGTTTACTAATCTTTATGTTCCACTTTGGTACTACTTATCAAAAAAACATTTCTCTTTTGTATTAATTGAAACCCTAATCTAATCTTGTTTGAAGCAGCAAACCAAGTTTGCAATTGTTTACAACTGTCCTTGTTTGAGTTACTAACACTCAGCTACTACATAAGAGTTCTTGCTATGTTCGACAAGCTGTTTGGAAACCACCTAAATCCATCAGGGGAGGTATACCCATCTGCTTCCCGCAGGTTGGCTGATGACAAAATTAACAATAATATTGCTTTTGTATTCGTAGCATACATAGATATTACGTGAATATTCCAGTTTGCAAATTTTGGTTCACTGGAGCAACATGGATTTGCAAGGAATAGATTGTGGTCGCCGGACAACTGTCCTCCTTTGACTCCTGCTAATAATCAATCTTATTCTGAAGTCTACTGAAGAGTCTGAAAATTTGGCCACATAAGTATGAATTGTATGGTATTATAATAATGTGCTAGTATATCATTACTTATTTAGACATTAAAAAAATATATACGGTGTTTTCTGCAGATTTGAGTTGCGGCTTCATATTTCTCTAGTGCTGGCAAGCTCACTCTGATTCCCGTGTGAGAAATGTGGATAACAAGGACTTCTCATTCACGTTCCCACTGCGTAATTACTTATCTGTTTCGGATATCAGGTTTGCCAAGTATTTACCTTCTTTTTTTCCCAACTGCAACGATTATGGTGTCATTCTGTTCTTTTTTTTTTTTTTCCTTCTCCCCGGTAAAACCTCCCTGTCATCGTGATAGTAACTGAGTTTGCAATTACCTTTGATGATGAGGTACCATGTAGCATGTACTCTGCTTTTGTTCTCAATATGGTGTGTTTTCACAATTGGCAAATTAGGATTGAACTCGGGACCTTGGGATTGCATATTAACTACCATAGAATAAGTTAAAGGTTCTATATTTTATCTAGTTTTTAGTGATTTGGAATTAAGATTTTCTTAATATTTGAACTTTCTCAACCATTTTTGAAGTTGTATTGTTTTTTGGCCTTTAGATCGGTCGAGTGTATTTGAGCACACCACCAAAGATTGCAATAATATACCACGAGAAGAAGAGAACCTTTGTACTGAAGGCATGCCTGATGCAGGTTTATATTGTTATACTTGTATTAGAGCTCCGTTATTGTCACAAGCTTCATTTGTATTCCTGATGCAGGTTTACGTTGTTATACTCGTTTTAGAGCTCTTTTGTTGTCAGTCTCGATTTCTCTTTCTTGCTTGCTCATACGTGAATTTCATGTGGTGGATGTACAATTTTATGGAATCCCTGGGACAAAAAGGCCAAGGCTCTCCCAGATTTGGGCGATGAAGATTACAAAACTATGTTAATGGAAGAGCCATCAAGAGCTCACTACTTTGCAATGGGCAGCTGGACCCTCGCAATGTTCTCGGCTTTTGCTGATCTCTTGCATGAATTAAATAAATGGGGTTCTGTAATTTTAGAACAGTCTAATTTAGTGTACAACATACATGCACTTGCTCGACTGCATATAAGCATTGTTGTGTCCAGCTGAACGTAATATATAGCAATAAGCATCCTAGAGTCACAGGCTTATCAATGAGAACATCCTCATCTTGCCTTTTGTAACAGTGAGGCACGCACGGTTGGTACCAAATGTGACTTGATCAACTGCCTCTTTGTAATTGTGACGATTGCCTCTTTATTTTTTGAATCGTAAAATTGTTGAATGGATGGTTGTCAGTTATGACAGTCCTTGTCATGACTCATGCATGAATGGGTGTTAGCTACACATAACGTATAGAAGTAGGATTGATGAAACTTGGATTTTTGTCACCTGGATCAACTACATTTTGAAACATATCTAAGTTTTGATGGGGTTTTACAAAAATTTTTACCTTTTGATTAAGGTCTTTCCCTTTCTCATTAGCTGTATATACACCTGGAATTGAAGGATGACATGAGGTGTTTACACACTATTCAATCTGTGTATTGTCATGTAGCATCCTCTATCAAATCAACTTTTAGAAATTTGGTTTGTGCTCTTTGGCCTTCTAGCTATTGGTCTTGTCTGTAACATTGTAATGGATTTACATAATAAAATGATTGTTCTGTTGTTTGTATTAGAACATTAATTTAATCATGGTGATTATTAAGGTAAATTAGGTAATAATTCTTCAGCATGTCAGATTAATGGATCTTCCTAGTTGTTTTATGCATGTTCATTGCTGGTGTTCCACCTCTTTTGTAACTTATGCATGTAGATCTTCCTAGTTGCTTTATGCATGTTCATGTTGCTGGTGTTCCACCTCTTTTGTAATATATGCATGTCGATCGGCTTCTAGTTTTACAGGAGAGGTCGACTAGTTATTAATTTGAGGTTTTGTAAACAAATATTAAGCATATACAAATCATATAATTGGAGTGTTAATAGAATAATACCGAAGTCAAAGAAGCCCGTTTGGTTTAGTTTTTGGGGAAATACTAATCTATATGAGCTTTGAAAACAAAAACAATTTTTGGAGAGCTACAAAAGCATGTTTTGAATTAAGCATTATTTACTTGATTTTTAGATAACTGTCGACCAAACTAATTTTCTAAGCTGTTGCTATCCATTTCTCGCATACTCGTACGTTTTGATATAATTGAACAGTTGAACGCAAATTTTTTTTTTAGCAAATGCACATGTTCATCTGTATTTCATCATTTTAACTTAATCCAAAACGTCAGTCGTCTTTGGGTTTTAAAACTTCAGTTATAGCATCCAATTTTTGCACCAAAATTCAAACAAATGCATAACATTTGCGTATTTTAAACTACAAGTGTGGTAGCAGATTTAGAATGAAGCTAACTTATGATTGGAATAAAATCTGAACATGGTTCAGACAAAGTTGGACCATTCTTAAAAAGTTGCAATTCCCCAAGGTTAAAAGTTGCAGCAATCAAATGCACCAAGAGATTTAGAGGTTATAACAGACCAAAAGTAAAGAAAGTAACATAAAAATGTTGTACAAAGTCCAGATCCAACTCTTGGTCATGCAGCAAGCAGTCTTCCATCCTTTATATTTCCAATTAATACAATGTGAAACAGTGTAGTGGTAGTAGTATTATTTTTTGAAAGTAACAAACTTTAACGGGTGGACGCTTACCCATTTACTCAAAAACTCAAACTGTTAGGTAGTATTGCATACTCATCCATTTATATTCAATCACTTTCCCATCCGAATCCGATATAGGACAAATGACCCTTGTTACACAAAGGAAGTAGGGGTGTCAAAATGGGTCACAACCTATTAACCCGATCATATCCGCCCATTTTTTAATGGTTTTGGGTGAACCATATTTAAGGTGAGTCAAAAATGGGTTAGGTAATTTTTAACCACTTAATTTTTTACTCATCACGTCATAGACGCACAATACACATCTATTCTACATTGCACACACCCCATTTCTCTCTCTCTCAAATTCTCTAACTAACCATCCTCTCTCTCTCTCTCTCTCTCTAAGTTTGTTTTTCATCAATCCCCTTTCTCTCAGTTTCTCTTTCTAGAAGTTTCTTCTCTTTCCTTCAATTCTCTCTCTCTCTAAAACAAATCAATAAATATTGTTGAGTTTGATATTGTTTTTATTTTTATTTTTTATTATTATTATTTATTTATATAAATGTACATATAAATATATATGTGTATCTCTGTATTTTTGTTATAAAAAATAATAATACATTATTATGATAAGAGATATGCACATGAACTTTCACTATTTAAATTGAAAATTTTCTCTTTTTGACAAATTACGTCTCTACATAATGCCGATATATATATATATATAGGGCGTGATCATCGGGCCTTTTTACATCATTTGCTTCTCTTCTACTTTAATACAAATTTTACCATATATATATATATATATAGGCGTGATCATCGGGCCTTTTTACATCATTTGCTTCTCTTCTACTTTAATACAAATTTTACCATATTCATGTGAGTTGAAGGTTGAAATTTCATAAAATAATATAAAAGTATATTTTAAAAAAAAAAAAATATTGAAGAATATATATGTACTAAATGGATTTTTTAAACTTATACTTACCTTCAACCCATAGCAATTAAAATAAATTTTTCCCTAAAAAAAAAAAAAAAATTAAAAGGATGAAAATGGGTCATTAGGTCTTACGGGTTGACCCAACTCATTTTGTCCCAATCCAAACCCATTGCAAACGGGTTAAATATGAGCAACAAGCCTACAACATATTTTCAATCCGTTCATATTTAATCCTACCCAAACCCGACCCAACCCGTCCATTTGCTACCACCAAAGAAAGTTTAACAATCATTCGCATCATTAACCGCCATATATCCACCATCAGCCTGTGCATTCTCATTTTGAGAGTAGCAGCAACAAACATAGACTCCCACTTGCACGAAACTTGACAACACTAGCACTTCCAATCTATTAAAGAAGAAGTTAGTATCAAAATTAAACACCAAACCACAGTCATTAATACACCTTCAATATTAAGTACAGTAGTAAATATTAATTACTTACCACTATGAAAGTGTCGTACTTGGTTTGAGTGACTGCATAGAGGAGCCATATTAGGCTATTTGCCAAACCGGCTAATAAGTATGGCAGCAAGGGCATGGCGTTCACATCATTTGCAGTTATCGCTCGACACTACTTTTCAAAATGCAAGCAAAAAGTCAAAAAATAATAATAATAATAATAATAAAAATAAAAAATAAAAAGCTAGCTAGCATTTAATAAGTTAAGAAGACATAGTGATTTACCAATGTTAGTCCTGGGACTGTATACATGATAACCCCTGTGATACAGGCCAAAATGCCTATTAACTTGGACCTCCTCTCATGTGAGTCATAGTACAGTGGTAGCTATAAAGGTCACCGCAAGAATTTGGAAGCTGAAGCAAATCTTGATTAATATCTGAAAATAGAAGAAAATTGAAAAATAAATGAAATGAATGTAATAGAACTAAAACAGAAATGCTGTAAATAAGATCATTTAACTTAATTGATATGTTTCATTACTACTTACACGACGATTGTGATTGACGTTGTAATAGTGAAACACAACCAAGTATCCAATTTCCACCATTATACCCACGCCACTCACAATAGCCATCCATATGTCTGGATGAAATCCGGGAAGTGAATGTATGAACCAGAAGGCACAATATATTCACCCAAATGGCCAAGTAAGAATAAGGGTTAAAGTCTTGTACCTGGTGTTCGGTGTGAATTTGCCACATTGTGCGACTGAAATTAAATTAATATCAATGCAATACCATTAATTAGTATAAGAAGTAAGTAACATAAATTGCTATAGCAGACAGAGGGTACCGAGGGGATGCAAAGAGGAATAAAGAGGTCATCAATCCTACAAAAACAACAATTTGATGTAACAATATAAGAAATTCACATCAGGATGATTGGTAATTATATCAACATAGCAACATTAATGTATTAAAAAGTTAACAAACATCTAAATCTAAGCTATCAAGGGCAGTTTATGATATGATAAACACAATGAAAATTCCCATGACTCTCCCTCAGTCCCTCCCTCCCTTCTCCTCCTGGGCCTCCTCCCACACCTCCTTCCCAGCACAACCACCACCTCCAGTTTTGCAGCAATCATCAACAACTCACAAAATGCCATTTTACCACACCTGCTTGCTAATGCAAACTCTTCCCCACCAACACTTGCTTCATCTCTCCCTATTGCCAATAATCAACTTCTCCCACCTGGACAAAGAGCCAACTACTTTTTTTAATATAACTTAAAAAAATATAACTTAATTTTCCACTTTTAACTACCAAATTATCCAGGGACCAAAGCCTGCACACCCTGAACCATCCTGCAATAACCTTGTTCATTCACCTACCAATTGTCCTAAAGTCACTAAAGCATGGTTTGTTAAACAAAAATTCACCCAAAACCTACAATGAAGAACTACTACTACTCAGCTCACTGGCTTTAGGAGATCACAACAGAAAGCAAAAGTTCACTGGCTTTAGGAGATCACAACAGAACACACTGAACGACAGTGTCAAAACTGATGATAACTCAGTCTCCCATGAGCCCAAACTGATTCAACATGAGTTCATTCTTTTTTCAAAAATCTCATAGGATCAGACCAACATACAATGAAGAACTACTACCACTCAGCCCTTTAGCTAGCATTCCAATTAGTAATGTCCCAGCTAGTGTAGTAATTGTCTCCACCAGTTCTAATTGGGCCAGTGGAAGTCTGCAGCCCATGGGCTTGTGGGCACTTTTTTGTAGGCCCGTGGAGTATGCTCCACGTAACTTTTTTTTTTCCTTTGCTTTAATAAATTATTGAATTTACCCAAGAAAAAATTAAAAATAAAATAAAATAAGGCAATTGAGGCACATCTTAATCAAAAATAAACTTGCATATAATAAGTAAACTAACAGCAAAATAATAATAACAACAATAATAAAAAAAAAAATTTTAAAAATGGATATGACAATTAAAACAATCATGCAATTAGTTTCATGTGTCATGGATACAAATGGACATGTTGAGAGTCTAAACCACGTACCATTCATCCAGCGAAATATCAAAAAACTACTGTGGTTCAACTCTTCATCCTCATTGACATAAATAAGAGATTATATATATATATACTTCTCCTTCTAAGAAATGGAGTTGGCCATTCAACAATCATGGTGTAAACCTCGTTTACATACA